ACCCTCGAGGAGAAGCGCAAGCTGAAGGAGCAGCTGGAGGCCAGTACCAGTGGTCACGGGGCCAGTTGGCCAGAGTGGACCCTGACTGACACCTGGGACGTTTCAGAAAAGGCAGGGCTCGCCTTCGGCGCATCCTCGCCTTCGGCGGAGGCCTGCGGAGGCCAGCGGAAGTGAAGCGGCAGCGATTTCGCGAGCGGAAGCCGACGGAGGGCGGCTTTAGTAAGAGTGAGACTGCAACATGCCTGAATCCATGGGGTCCAGAATCGGCCATCTGGACGCCGTAAATCAAAACGCTGGCTTCTTCGCTCCGTTTCGAGGGTTGGTACCGTCGCGGATTGGTCTTGGTCGCGGAACACTGCAGCAAGGTATGGTCGGGAGCTGTGGTTGTGATATCTCGTGACGTTGTATCTTTATTCCCGGCGTCGAACGTCGTGTTTTTTTTTTTTTTTTTTTTTTTTTTTTTTTTTTTTTTTTTTTTTTTTTTTTTTTTTTTTTTTTTTGTTTTTTTTTTTTTGTTCCCCCCCCCATGCATCCTTTGGTGTTGGGTCTTCGTTTTGAAGAAACAGTCCCCGCATCCACTCCTCCTCTCCTCCTCCCCCCTCCTCCCTCCTCCCACCCTTGCCTCTGCCCTCCGCATGTCAACCAGTTCGGCACTCCCATCTCCCCCCTCACTTTGGCACACTCCTCACACGTTTCGTGGCTCTAGAGGGAGCTCCACCTGAGGCCCCAGTGGCCGCGCCCGCATGCCGCCGCCCCATCATTTTGGCACTCCCCTCATACGTTTCGTGGCCCCATGGGGAGCTCCACCGAAGGCCCCAGTGGCTGCGCCCGCATGCCGCCACCGCCTCATTTTGGCACACCCATAACACGTTTCGTGGCCCCATAGGAAGCTCCACCTACGGCCCCAGTGGTTGCGCCCGCATGCGGCCTCCCACACCGGAGCTCCACCTAAGGCCTCAGTGGCTGCGCCCGCATGGCGCCACCCCTTAATTTTGGCACACCCGTCACACGTTTCGTGGTCCTACAGGGAGCTTTACCTGAGGCCCCAGTGGCTGCGCCCGCATGCCCCACCCCCTCACTTTGGCACACCCCTCACTCGTTTCGTGGTCCTATAAGGAGCTCCACCTACGGCCCCAGTGGTTGCGCCCGCATGCCGCCACCCTTTCATATTGGTATACCCCTCACACGTTTGATGGTCCTCTGGGGAGCCTCAGTTGAGGCCCCGGTGGCTGCGCCCGCATGCCGTCACCCTTTTATTTTGGCACACCCCGATCCCTCTGACCTCCGCGCCCCCATGCGGGCTGTCCCAGCGGCAGCGCCCGCATGGCGCCCCCACTCTATTTCGGCCATCTCTTCATGCATTTCGCGGCTCCGTCGGGAGCTCTACCGATGGCGGTTCTCACACCAGCGGTACCCACAATTGCATATGTTTGGGTCCTACGCCAAGATTAAGTTTTTGATTTTCGGCGTGTCTCGCTCGTTTTCGCTGCTTTGCAATCGTCTTCGAAGACTTCCCAGAGCTTCTCACATGCTTCACGGCCTTTTTTGTTCTGCAGGTATTCTGGAGTCTCCAGAGGTCCCCCGAGAGCCAGTCTTCTGGAGCCCTCCAGATCCATCCGAGGTCCCCCCGAGAGGCTCGGTTCTGGACGCATTACCTTTTCTTTTTTGGGGGTTCAACCTCGGGGTATCGTCCTCCCACGCCATCAGGTCCTCCACTTCGTCCAGCCCTGGTCCACCCCGTTCAACCTCCTCCTCCTCCTCCTCCTCCTCCTCCGGAAAATTCTTCGAGCCGCCTCTTCCTCCTCCTCCTCCTCCTCCTTTTCCTCCTCCGGAGGAGGAGGAAAAGGAGGAAGAGGAGGAGGAGGAGGAGGAGGAGGAGGAGGAGGTGGAAGTGGAGGAGGAGCATGAGAGGATGAGGAGGAGGAGGAGGGAGGAGGAGGAGGAGGAGGAGGAGGAGGAGGAGGAGGAGGAGAGGAGAGGAAAGGAGGGAGGAGGATGATGAATGATGAGGAGGAGGAGGAGAGAGAGAAAAGGAGGAGGAAAGGAGAAGAGGAGGAGGAGGAGGAGGAGGAGGAGGAGGAGGAGGAGGAGGAGGAGGAGGAGGAGGAGGAGGAGGAGGAGGAGGAGGAGGAGGAGGAGGAGGAGGAGGAGGAGGAGGAGGGAGGAGGAGGAGGAGGAGGAGGAGGAGGAGGAGGAGGAAGGAGGAGAGGAGGAGAGGAGGAGGAGGAGGAGGAGGAGGAGGAGGAGGAGAGGAGGAGGAGGAGGAGGAGGAGGAGGAGGAGGAGGAGGAGGAGGCGGAGGAGGAGGAGGAGGAGGAGGAGGAGGAGGAGGAGGAGGAGGAGGAGGACGGTCGCATTCACTTCTATCCTTTGTGTGCACGCTGCGCTTTGGACGCGACGTCCAGCATCCCTCGTTCGGCCATTGCAAACTAGAGGATGACCAGGATGATAATAATGTGAGCATAGGGGTTATGATAACTAGTAGAAGGAAGCGGTCCGCAGCTTTCTCGGACCGAGCCTGCCCCGCACTGCGCGCCGGGCGTGCCCGCCGTTGATGCGCGGAGGGCCGGCGACCAGAGCACGGGCGGTCCACGAGCCTGCCCTCGGGTTCGGGGCCCACTCATAGGCCACTCCCAGCGGCGAGGTGGCCGCACCAGAGGCGGCGGAAGACTCAGAGAGGGTCCCGTGGGTCCCAGAGAGCACCCATCGCGGGTGTCCAGAGGGGCGGTAGGTGTTGAACCTGTGGTTCGGGCCGCCCCTGCCGCTGGCAGCCACTGCTGCGCAATCTGGGCCGCCCCGGGTTCAAGCGAGGACCTCGTCGGGGTGCGCAACGGCGGCGCGGTCGCGTGGCAGGCGATTGTCGCCAGATTCGGAGACGGCAAGTGCGGGCGGGGTTGCCTGCGTCGGTTCCCGTCGTTGGGCGAGGCAATCGACAAGTTCTTTGACGAGCAGTGGGGCCACTCATACCCTGTCAATGTCTTTGGCTGGACCAGGACACAATGACGGCGCTGCCACCTGGCGCGCTGCAGCAGACCGGGGACGTCCTGCTCCGCTCGTGGCTGTTCGAGCTGCCCATAGCTGGGGCCCGCGCCGCCAGCGCGGCAGCGAGGTGCGAGCCCGAGTCGCCAGTGGCGAATTCGTGCGGCTCGATGGCCCCGACTCAGTCGACTCCCTGACGCAAGACGACGCCAGCGACCTCGAGCTGGAGGAGCGCCTCGTCGTGGTGCCCGCCGTCTGTCTCCCGTGCGGCGCCGGCTCGCTCGCTTCCGTGAACAATGTCTCGGTGGCGCTGCGGTCGGCCCTGGGCGAGGAGATGCCAGCATACGTGGCCTGCGTGAAGGTCTCGACAGAATCCTGGCGCGACTCACCGAGAGATGCGCGGAGGACGAGGTGATCGAGTTCTTCGGTTTAGCTGGTGGGGCGGCGCAGCCAGACCTCCTCGAGCTGACCGATCTCGCCCTGCAGCCCGATGACTGGAACATAGTGATCCTGCTTCGACCCGTCGCGTTCCTCGCCCCAGCCCCTCGAGGCGACCAGGGGTGCGTCGGCTCCCAGCTTTCCGTCGACAGGCAGGTCGATAGGGAGAGGTACCGGCGAGCACGAGGGGCGGGGGCATGGGGGGCGACGAGGTCGACGCAGCCCGCGAGGCTGCCGCGCAGGAGTGGGCAGGTCGGCCGCGTGGCGCCTGCGTGGCGGGCGGCCCCGACTCGGAGGGAAGGGGGTCTCCTGGCGGGTCTGGGGGCCCTGTGGCCCCGCCCGCCAGGCGCCCCCCCATCAGCGGGCGACGCTGCCGCTGGCCGCGCCCGCGGATGGGGCCCGCGCCAGCCGCCCTTCCCGCTGCGGGCGTGCGCGCGGGGCGCGCGGCGAGGCAGGGGCCTGTGGCGGGCAGCGCCAGTGCGTCGACGTGTTGCAAGACGATTCGCAGAGTGTCTTCTGGAGCTTCAACCTGCTGGAAGCGATCGGCGGCCGTCGACTGAAGGGCCTCTCGGGCCGAGTCGAACAGGACGAGGAGAGAAGCATGGAGGCCTGTGGCCTCGCTTCAGCGCCCCCCCCCCCCTCCACTGCCGCTTCCGGGTCGCCCCTCCAGGCGGGGCCCTCAGCGAGCGGCCCGTGCCCGTGCCTCCCCAGTCCAGGGCGGCGGAGGAGGCCCTGGCGACGGCGCGGGGGCTGCTTCAGCGAGCCGACGGGCCCCCCCCCCGCGAGCAGGGCAGCCGCGCGGCTCCAGAGAGGGGCCGTCCTCCGGCCGCGATGCAGACGAGGCCACCCAGGTTCCGATGCTGCAGGCGCCTGAGAAGGTCGGCGGCTCCAAGGAGGTGCAGGAGGGCGAGCCCACCCTGGGCGACTTCCTTTTCGGGGGCGCAGCCTCGGGCCCCCGAGGGGCGGGCCCAGCGGCCAGGATCAACGTCGCCGAGGGGGCAGCGGGGTTCCTGGCGCTCAACGGGGCCACCGAGCGCGAGCCGCAGAGGTGGCCCGCCCGCGTCGACGCCGCGGCCTTCGCCGAGTTCGCCCGCGACACCGCGGGCGCGCCGTGGAGCGTGACGCTCTGCCGAAGGCAGAGGGTCATATTCGGGTGCCTCGAGGACCGCGGGCGCTCCTGGGAAATTCTCGCGCCCTCCGCGCGCCATGCAGGTCGCGGCAGTGTGACCTCCTGGGCGCCCTGGTCGGCCACTTCCAGGAGACTGCGCAGCAGTCCGCGAATGCGAGCGACTCCCGGAGGCTGGCTGGCTGATCGCGGGGCTCCCAGGCCTTCGGCCCAGGGCGGGTCGAGCGGCGAGAGGCCTCGCGCGCCCCGCGGAGTCTGCAGCCTCGGTCGGTTACTTGTGGGAGACAGAGGCGCTCGATATCGCCCTGGAGAGAGGCCAGGGGCGCCGCCGAGGATCGCGCTGGCAAGGGCCGCGTCTGGGACAAGAAGTCGATGAATTGGGCCACCGAGAAAGGGGCAGGACGGCGGCGGGGGCGGCGGTTGAGGCGAGTGATCGCCTCCATATGGGCCCGACAGCTTATAGAAACGCCGAGGGGGGCCAGCTCGGGCCTCCGTCGTCATCGCCTGCGACCCCGGCTTCGCAGGCCGCCGTTGGTCGGTGATCTGCGCTCTTTTTGCACCTGGCCTGCTGACCTCGCTCTGATCCTTCCTCGGGGCGGGGGTTGCAAAATTCGCCCCGACGGGTCGTCTTGCCCCCGGGCCTTGAAGAGTGAGGTGTCGTGCCCTATGGGGTTCCCTGCCGCAGTCGCCGCAATGGCGTGCGCGGTGGCTTCGGGAGAGACGTGTGCGGCGCCTGGTCAACGTGACCGTCGCCGATCTCTCCCAGCTCTCGCTTTTGCGCCCTGCGGGCGGCCTGCGGTCGCGCCGCGCCCGGGCCCGAGAGACACTGGCAGCTGGCGCGCCAGCCTGATGGCAAGTGCTATGGTTGTTGCCGCGTCGAGGAGCCAATGCCGCTCCTGACTGGCGGCTTCGCTGGCGTCCATCGGGCCGTGGGCGATTCGTGCTTGGGAGGCAGCGCGCAGTTTGTGGAACCTCTCGCCCTCGTCGCAGACAGCCTCGTCGTCCCGCCCAGCGGCGGCGATTTTGCTCCGGAAGCCAGTCGTGCCCGCTGTGTGCGGCCTCATCTTCCGTGCGCGCCGTGTCTTTGACCTTGAGTCAAGTCGCCTTCCCAGTCAGCTGCCTCCCGCGTGCATGCGCGTGGACCATTGGGCCGCGGTGGCAGCGCATATATGGGGTGCTCGGCTTTTGCGGCTCGCGCGTCCGGAGAGCCTCCAGCTGCGCGCGGGCGCCCCCGTCTGGGCCGGGCTCCTCGGCGCGGGGCCGGAGGGCGACCTCGGGCTAGGGGTGATCGTTGACAGGCGTCGCCGCGGCGCGCTCGAGGAGTCTCCAGCAGTCGACGCGCCTGCCGCGAGCGTCTCGCCGCCCTGCCCCATGCCTCGCACTTCGCAGAGCTGTTCCTCACAATGGGCGGGTCCTTGTCGATCTTCGCGGACGACGCCGAGGATGTCATCTGCCTCCTGCAGTGGCTGGGCGCCAGGGTCCAGGAGACCATCCTTGGCTTCGACCTCGGGCCAGCGAGCTGCTGGGGCAGGAGTCTCCTACAGGGTGGACTGCCTCTGCCGGCGCGGTCGGGGCAGGGTGGCGCTGGCACTGGCGGCCCCCGCCGTGGGGGGCCAGAAGGCTTGGGAATCGGTGTGGGTCGTGCAGCAACAATGTTTGCGATCCGCAGGGCTTCTCTGTGACGGGGGTTGTCCCCCAATGGTCGGGCCTCCCCTCGGGCCGAACCGTGAAGGGTGTCTACTCGGACGACCGTGTCGTCGTTGGCCTTTGCGACGGCCTTGCCGCCTCGGGTCCGATGCGACGGGCGGCTCTTCGGCGGGCCCGGCAGGGGCGCCAGGCATGCGACCGCGCGGGCATCGGGGGAAAGGAGGAGAAGGCGACCCTGGGCCCGCCTAACAGAGTCGTCTTTCGGGGGGATCTCGTCAGCGCGTCTCGACGTAGGCGGGGTGGTGGTGGGGGCCGAGCAGCTCGGGGTGATCGCCGCGTGCGTCGTCCTCGTCGGGGCCGTATCAGTCGCTGTCATGAGGAGGCTGATCGAGCGATGTTTCGCCGGGCCGCCATGCGTCTCGTGGATAAGATTTAAGATGGCGTTATGTGCACAGCGCGGGCCCCGCGGCACGGCGCCAGCAGCCGAATCCAGCGATCGACGAGCTGATGGGGCTTGTCCTCCTGTTGCCGATGTCCAGGAGCTTGCTCGACTCCGCGGTGGCGGAACAAGTATTCGCTTCGGACGCCGCCCTCTGCGTCGGCGGAGCTGCGTCGGCCCCGCTCGACGTGGGGGAGGCGGTCAGTCTCTGGTCGCGGGCGTCTCGACGGAAGGGCGAGGTGCGGCTCGAGCCCTCTGGGTCTCCAGGTCCCGACGAACCTCTTGAGGTCCTGGGGGGCGGGGTCTGGCCCCCCCCAGGCTCCGCTCGTGGATAGGGTGCAGGCAGTTTGCCACCCTACTGTGGTATAGGTTCTCGGGCCAACGTCGTATCAATGCGGGAGGGGTCGTCGCCTTTCGATCGCCGGTCAAGCGTGCGCCCAAGGGCCCGGGCACGCGCGGCGAGTGCATCCCAGTGCGCATATACTCACAGGTTGTACATGTCGTTGCCGTCCGATGACGATCGTCTAGCAGGGTCATGGGCAGGATCTTCGCCATGACTCTCCCGTTTTTGCTGTTCGCAGGGTGCCCTCCCCGTCATTTTTAGGGCACGGAGTGCCGGTGATCCTTCCCTTCAGATGCCTGGCGAGAGGTTTCGAGACGCGTGGGGCCAGACCGTGTCCTTCCGAGGTGGTGGAGTCGATTGCCGCCGTCGAGAAGCTTTGGAGCTGGGCCGTGAGCGTGCGCCGCTCTGTCTGTGGCCGCCAACCGCCCGTCTTCCAGGGCGCCTCCAGCGGGCCGGTGGCCTCCTCAGCGCAGCCCTGCGCGCTGCGGCTGTATCGCCATCGGCCGCGACGTGCTGCGCGGGCCTCTCGCGGGCCTCGCGGGCCCGACGTACTGGCCCAGGAGATCGATCTCATCTTCAGGATCAAGCCGATGGCGGCTTTCTGGGCCCTCCTTGCGGGACCTGCTCGCGATTCGTGAACTTCTGCTCGCGGTCCTCTCGGACTCGCCGGCGGCTGCGGGGGCTGCGGCGACGCCCTGGGGAGATCCTGGGCAACGAGTGCGCGGGGGCCGGGCTGGATCTTGCGAAGGATCTCGACCGCGTGGGCGCCCTGTGGGCGCTGGGGCAGCCTCGGCAATCTTCAGTGGGCGCATCCGGAGCTCCAGGAGGCCCTCGGCGCGGGGCCGCTCTACGAGCGCGTCATGGACGGGTTCGCGTGGAGCAGGCGCGGGCGCGAGACCGCCGCCTGGAAGGGGCTGTGGCAGTTTCTTCCCTTGTTGGCAACTCGATGCGACCGCAGCCACCATCGCCTCGTCTCGGAGGGCAGCATCAAGCGCGAGGGCGGCATCTGGCGGTGTTGGGCGGATATTGCGGCAGATTACTCCAGCGAGTGGTGCGATGCGGTGTCCGAGCAGGTCGACGCGCGCTGCCGCTCGCCGCGCTGCTGATGCTCCTGGGGATCTTCTGCAGCTGGCTCGGATTTCCAGGAGAAAGCCCACCCGCGCGCCTGGGCGCAGTCTCGCGGCGCGCGCCCTCGCGGACTGGGCGGGGCCTCCGAGTGGTAGTCAGGCCGGCCGCTGCCCGTCTGTGTATCGTCGCGCTCGACGAGTGGGGCCTGTGGTTTTTGAGTCGAGGGCGGGCCCGCCTGGGCGACTTCGCGCGTGACATCGAAGTGCTCGGCGCCACCCTCGTCGCTGCGCGCAGTGCCCCTACGGCGCGAAGGCGCCGTGCTCTTTGGGGTCCGAGACCCTGGTTGGCGTCCAGTTTCGCTGGCCCCAGACCCGCGGTCGACTGCGTCCAGCCAAAGCCGTGGTGGCTCGCTGGCGCAATTTCGAGACAGTCGAGATGCGCGCGCCCATGCCTGTCGAGGTGCACTCGGCGCTGGCCGTCGCTGCCCAGGCGCAGGGGTCGGACAGACCGTCGGCGTGCTTGTTCCTCGCCTTCCACTCGCTGCTGCGGCCCAGCGTGGTCGCGAACGCCCTCGGGCTGCACTCCGTCTTGCCGGGGAACCTGGGAGGCGTCCGACCGAGGGCCCAATTTCCAGAGCGTCCTGATCGACGGTCTTGCGCTGCTGAACGCAGTGGGGCGCGTCTTTGGCCCCCTCTCGCCGACGGAAGCGTTGCGCCCAGGCCAGCTGCGCGGAGCGACCCAAAGGTTTAGCAATCTCAGGGGCGTCGTCGGCATCGGCGTCTCGCCCTATAGTGCGCCCTTGGGTCGCTGCGATGGGGGCGGGGCCATCCGCCATTTCCGCTCATTTCAGAGCATGGGGCTGCTATAATATCGTGCGCGCTGGGACAATGCCGAATCCATGCTTCACTATCCCCAGATGGGCGCGACCGCCCTGTCCTTCGCCCACATGTCGCCTGACAGCCGACAGCGTGTTCAACAGCTTACTCAACTTGCCCCAGCTGTGCGAGATGATGGGTGACTGTGCCACCAACGCACCCGGGGGGCAAGACGCATGTTAGACACTTGACCATGACGGCACGGTTGGAGCACGTCGAGAGCTCCCTCTCATTGGGGCTCTGTGAGGCCGCGCGGCAGAACCAGCGCCGCTGAACCCCGACGCCCCTGGCCGCCCTTTGGTCAGCCTTTCTGCGCAAACTTGACACATGGGGTACTTTGAAAACGAACGTTGGGTACCAGGCTAGCGATGCTGGTGCGGATGATGATGGTGATGCTGATGATGCTGCTGATGGCGATGCTGATGATGATGATGATGATGGCGATGATGCGGGTGATGATGATGACGATGATCATGATGATTGTGATGCTGATTTTGCTGATGTTGGTGACAATGGTGATGATGATGGTGATGGTGGTGGTGGTGGTGGTGGAGGTGGAAGCGGAGGTGAAAGGAGGAGGGGAGGAGGGGAGGAGGAAAGGGAAACAAGGGGAATAATTGGGGGGCATAACGTAGCGGAGGAGGATGATGAGGAGAAAGAGTCTGGCCCCGCGGCCCTCGCTGGAGGCCAAGGAGCTGAAGGAACGCAGCGTCCACGGCGACGGGCCGTGCGGCGACAGCAGTGTCTTCGAGCGGCTGTACACCAACTACAAGCTACCAGAAACGCTTCAGGATAACACTTTTTACGAGGCCCCGTCGGCTCGTCGTCGTCGCCGTCGTCGCCGCTGTGGTCTTCGCCGTTCTCTTCGAGGTGGTTGTGATCGTCGTCGTGGTCCCAATGTGGTGGTGGTAATCGTCGTCGTCGTCGCTGTCGGAGGAAAGAGAGGGAGATGGGAGGGTGGGAGCTGCAGGGGTTGTTGGATTGGATGAAAATGGCACGATTTCGACCCTTTCTCGTGCTAGCTGCTCCTCCGTCCCGATGTCTTTCTCCTCCTCTTCCTCTTCCTCCTCCTCCTCCTCCTCTCCTTCTCCTCCTCCTCCTCTCCTCCTCCTTCTCCTCCTTCTCCTCCCATTCCTCCTCGCCCCCTCCTGACCCGCCGTTGTGCGCAGTGAAGCCGCCGCCCCACCGTGGCCAGCCGGGGCGCCCGAGGCTCCGATTGCTGCGCCCACGGCGGACGTGCCGAGTGGCGGTGACGGCCCAGCGCCACGGCGGCGGCGGCGCCGCCGCGCGGCGCGGCAGGCCCTAGTTCTCGGGTGTGCCGCATGGGCTGTTAAGGGTGTTCGCAGTTCGGTGGGGTCGGTTGCGTCGCAGTTTGTGGCGTTCGGTCGGTTCGGTTCGGTCGGTTGTTGGGCCGTTGTCGCGTCGCTGTGCCCTTCTAGGTTGCTTGCGGCCTGTCGATGTCGTTCGGTTTCGGCTTTGTTGTCGGTCCCGTCGGTTTTCGGTTTTGTTGTTGCCGTGAACGGCTTTGGCTGTTGATTGCGGGCGACGGGGTATGCAGCGCTGGCGGCCAACTTGGGTGCGACGACGAGTGGGCGGATGACGCCCCCGTGGTGCGCGCCGCTGCCGTGGCCGTGGCGGCTCTGGAGTCCGCGGCGTCGTCGCTGGCACCCGCTGGCCGCTGGGGTCCCTGCTCAGCTTGGCCCGCGCGGCCCGAACCTCCTGTGGGCAGCGATGCACTTCGGGCCCGAGCTTGGCCTCCTCCTCCAGTTTGCCTGGGGTTCCCCTGGTTTCCTTCCGCCCTTCTCGATCCAGCGAACGCGTGTTTCAGGCCGTGCCTAGCTGGCATCCTCGTCCTCAGCTGTGGTACGAGGCCCTTGCCAATCCGTCCTGTGCTTCAGTCACCTCTGTAGCGCCTGGCTGTGCGCCTCCGCCGTCTCCTCTTGGCCGAAGCTCAAGGGTTAGAGGTTTGGTGCAGATCCGTTGATCGAAGCATTGGAGTGTAGCGCCCGTTGGCGCGCCCAGCGAATCTGGAGCGGGCCGGCCTTGTGCTCCAGACCGGGCGGGCATGGCGCGCCCCTCCGATGGGGCCTGCCAACCGCCGATCTGGGACGATCGACCCAGCAGGTGCAGCGGCTAGATCGGAGCCAGCGTGGTTGTGGCGGGCTGGCTCGATCCCCTCCGCTCTGCCTCGATCGATCAACGCGACCTGCCAGGCCAGGACCAGGAGTTGGGCGTATCACGGCTTGCGCCTGCCAGGCCCCAACCCTGCCCTGCCCCGGGCAATGTCCCAGGGAACTGGGCACCTTCTGCGCGCCCGACCGGGCTGGGACCGAAGCGAGAACTGTGGGCGCGGCCACGGAATCTCACGACTATGTTGCCAGCGCGGAAGGGCTGCCCGACGAAGGCAGCGGCGCCCAGACGGGCGCCAGCGCGGCCAGCACCAGAGGGGGCCCTGGCCTTGCAGGGGCCCAGCCCGGCGCAGACCCCGACGACCAGGCCCCTGGGGAAGGCTCAGGTTCGCCCCCAGCTGCGCGCGAAGAGGCGGGCGGGGCCACTGCGGCGCCCGGCGAGGCGACGCCCGCGATCGCTGGACAGACCCGCGCGACCCCTCGTGCGCCCCCGCGCCCCCGCCGCGCCCTGGCGGAACGCCGGCAGGCCCCCCGGCGGAGGCCGGCGTCGCCCGAGGGCCGCGCCCTGCCGACGAGTGTCGCCCTGCTGCGCAGCGCACTGATGCACAGCTCTAGGGGGCCACATGCGAACCCTACCCCTACCCCCCACGACTTCTGAGGGGGAGGGTGGGGTTCACTTCGCTCGCAGCGCTCAACGACGCCCTCGGGCACGCGCTTGCTGGGCATTAGCACTGCGGCGGCGCGCCCGACGCCTTGCTCCCAGGGGGGCCCGACCTTGGCCCTGGCTATAGGGAGGTGCGCCCAGCTAACACACCGTGGGCGAGGGCCTTCGCGAAAAAGGCGAAGGCACGGCAGCCATGCAAGGCGAAGGTCTTCGACGACGGGAGGTAGTGCGTTGAAGCAGGTGCAAGAGCAGAGATGCAAAGGCAGGGCGGTGGGGCGATAGGGAAGTGCGCGAATGGTTGAATGTTTCCCGCGGTTCCAGGGTCGTGGTGCACGGGCTTCACATCGCCGGGTCTCTGCAGGGCCTTGACATGCCCGTCAGGGTCATGATGTTCCAACCTACTTTTTAGCCTTGCTCACCAGAATAACTTTCGGGCGCCAAGAAAACACCCCAAAACTTGAGGATTTTCACGTGTCGGGCCCTGGGAGACACTCTTTCGACACTCTTTCGAAACTCTTTCGACACTTCTCCGGGTGCTCGAAATCATTTCTGGGATGTGGTCCTTAAGTGCGATTGGAGCAACATAACGCCAGGGGCAGAGGGTGGATGCCCTGGCCCAGCCAGCTCCTGGTTTTGCACTGCGCAGCGCCGCGCGCCGCGGTGGAACCGAAAACAAACAGTCACGACGGCAGAGATAGGGGCCGGCGGCGCCTCCGGCGCCGCCCCTGGTGCGCTCCGCGCGCCAGGGAGGGGGCCCCAGCGCCGATCTGAGAAATCCGCGCGGACCTCTGAG